TGTTTCTCATAATTTGATCTTCCATAGTCTCTGAAGAAAACAGGACCAAATCCATGCTGCATAGCAGGCTCCATCGGTATATGCTTTCGTATCACTTTGGAATAATATGAGGACCTGCTCAGTTCATGATTTTGCGGCCCATCCTGGGAAGAGCATATTCGATGTCTAAAAGAAAAATCTGTAAATTTTTTGTTGAAATCTGATATTTGTAAATTGGGAAAAAGTGAAGAAATATTCGAGAAATATTTGAACACAGATAAGTACCACTGCTAAGTAGCAAACAGAAATCTGGTGAACAAACAGAAATCTGATCGCAGATAAGTACCACTGCTAAGTAGCAAACAGAAATCTGGTGATCAACACGAGAAAGATTATCGCAGTAACCGAAATTATGTTTACAATGCATTCAGTAGTTAATCAGATATCTGCGATCCGGATATCAATGCATGCTATCTTTTATATTATTTTTGTCGAGTGTCGTCACCAATTTAAAATCAATGCATTATTTTCTGCTTTCAAAGTCAGAAGGAAATCAGGTTGGATGACATGTGAAATTGAAATTTTTTGTCGAAAAATGAATACGTATCTTTTATATTACATGTAACAAATACAAAACCTTTCACGAATGCCGCCACCACAACTTACGCTGCAGACAGTCCACGTTGTCCACTCTGAGAGCTTACAACAAAGGCCTAAAAGTGTTTCATTCAAAACTCAATATACTGTAATTATTCAACAGGTATCGCATACTTTAAAAAATGGAGTGATAATAACAACTGACAACCGAAAGGTTTGTTGTAAAAAAGTAGAATGACTTCACAAACTATCGAATCATTTCACGAATAGATATAGTTGAAGCAAAGTAAAGCAAACTTTTTGGTATTGATGTGAATAGAACAGAAATAAGACATTATCAATACCGCTAAGACCATCTGGTCTTTCATTTTGATGCGTCTTCTTAAGTCATGCACCGGTTTCGTGGAAAAAATTTGCGGTAGTAACCGTCTGATCATCCTGTCTATCTTCAACCGGGCAATACGAGCCACACAGGAGTAAGCTTGAAACTTTCGACATGAAAATCCCGGCACTTCTCAGTATTTCTCTAATCGTTGATATTTCACACCGGATTTTAAACAGGAATAATAAAAATTGTTGTCCTTAGCAATCAGTTTGTAGATATTTAACACATAATTAACCTGCTTCACACTGTTTCCTGTCAACAGCATTTCCACTGCAATTGTCATTGTCTCGAATAACTTTAACCACGGAAATAATCCCGTCAACCTGGAAGTATGCAATTGTTTCATATTTCGGTTTACCAGGACTCGTTTTGGTTCTTTTATTGCTCCTTTTTCTATCTGTTGTCTTCAGTACAAATAGAGTTCAATGAATTCTTGGAATCCAATGCGCAACTTACGGTGCTCACAGTTGACGTAAACAGATTGTTATTGTTACTGCGCTGCGTAGTATTCATCCGCATCCTAATATCACCTTGATCATCTGCAAACCAATCACTCTTATAAAGAAGGATAACTTTTTTGATGCTCTTTGCTATATCTAAAAGTTTTTTCAGAGTATTACAATTCGCTTTTCTAATGATATCGAATTTCCTTTTTTTTCTCACTTGTTTCTCTTAATGAAGGCTACACTGAAAAGTAAAAAAACACTGAGTCTTGACCACCTTCCGGAGAGAAGCCTTCTTTGGTAACCGCTTTAATTAAATCGTCTTTCATACATCTGAAAACAAAAAAGCTATGTACCATCCATTTCAATAATAAGTATGACTAATTGATACGAGACAAATAACACAAGCAAGTGTTGGAAAATTATTTAGCAAGTGATTATTCCCTAATTTTCAACTTTGTGTTAAATAGTTAATGTTCTCCGAAAATATGATTAAAAATATCTGATGATCGTTGGAATCTTTAACTGATGTGTGATGATCTTGACAACCTCTGTCTTACTATTATCAGTTGCTACTAATCAACATCAACTAATTGAAGATATATTTATTATAAATCAATCATTTCCTTGATCACAGCTCTAAGCAACACATCATCTTACTTTCTTCGTCGTTCACGAGTTCCAGAACCACAGGTGACAGAGCAGTCACTCCATGAGGACCATTCATCCCAGTAAGGGCATACCGATTCTTGACAAAATCGAAACTCGCGCTCGGCACCGATGCATTTCGTGCCTATCGGAAGGCAAGATCGTTGTCTGGAATAAAATCATTTTATGAAAGACCACAAAAAAAATTGGCAGTCTTCGGATGTATGTTAAAGCACTTGGATTGGTATTATACAACGAGGAAGAAGAACGTGCAGTTTTAAAGTGTTAGAAAAAGCTGACAAAGTTAGGTAGAATTGAGCCTTGTAGTCATTGACCGTAGTATACAGTCAGGAATTCACACATAGTAAGCTGTTTGCGAATAACCTATTTTCTTGACCATGTCCACAAGTGGCACTACATGTTGACCAGGAACTCCATGAAATCCAGCTAGGACATTCTGGGAGGTCTTTGCATGTCATTTGGTCTTGTGCTGCACCATCACAGAGCGAACTTATCAAATTGTCTTTCATGCAGGTCCTGCAATCTTCATCACTAATCACATCCACCTAATATGTAGTGGAAGATATTTATGTTCAAAAATTTCTTAAAAAACTTAAAATTTGCATTTGTAAATACTATAATCGATCAACAGCTTTCTTTACCTTAAACGAAGTTTAGTTCCTTTTGTACCGCAGGTTTCAGTGCATTGTGTCCAAGAAGACCACTCGGTCCACTGTGGGCAGGAATTCCTTATGCATACTTCATGCTCTTTTGCATCGCCGGTACAGTTTTTGCTGCCATAGCAAATCCTTGTTCGATGCTGCAATAAAATCAAAATGAGTGCAAGAAAAGGTTGGGAAATTCGTCTCGGTGTTAAGGAACTTCTGAAGGCGGGAAGCTGTCTGTAGTGGACATAAATTGTATGATTAGTTGGGAAGAAAAAATGATTTCGAAGTAATAGAAAATAATTGTTGAGAGAAATGATTATCAATCCCTCCAAGTTGTAAAATGCACTCCAAATACAGGAGTTCACTCGTTTGGTAGTTTCGTTCAAATATACTCCCTACCCTATGTCCATTACCGCAGCTTACGCTGCACGCACTCCACGCTTCCCAAATAGACCAAGATGGGCAAAGATGTTGTTTGCATGTCTTCTTCTCAAGATTTTCACCAATACATCCATTACCGCCCACACATTGCCTAAAATTTTGAAAATTTGAAAGGTTTTAGAATGGATGAAAGTTATTTAAATACCAAACCTATCATTAAAATAATGCTAAAAAGTATTGTCGGAATTGACAAGTTATGGTAGTGATGGTTTACCTTCGTCTTACTTGTTGTCCGTTTCCACAAGTTACAGAGCATAATTCCCAATTGCTCCATGTTGACCATTGCGCACACTTTTCCACATTGCATACTTCAATGCTCTAAATTTCTTGAAGAACTTTCGTCGATAACTTGTCAAACAAGAAATGAAGAAAGAAGAAGAAGGGTACTGTAGCAAATAGAAAAATAAATTCTCCAAGTTCTTCATTTTCCTGTAATGTGAAAGTTTTACCAAGGAAGGACCATTACACTGTTGACTAACAGAGCAGATACGCGAACGCGATCGCTCACCACCATCACAACTTCGCGAACATGCAGTCCATTCTGACCAAGGCCTCCATTCCGGACATAGACCATTACTGCACAGTTCTTCTTTTATAGATTCACCTAGTAAAACCATGTGAAAATATCAAAAGAGCAAATTCAATAAATAAATAAGGAAATGAATAAAATCTATTGCAAATTTGGTTGCTAAATTTTGTGATAATTGCATTGAGGCCAAGATAAAAGACATTTTCCATTAGTACAATTATCAGTTCTCGATTTGAACTTACCTGAACATTGTCCATCGACTGAGCAAAATCGTCTCCGCGTGGTGATGCCTATCCCACAAGTAACCGAACATGAAGTTTGTGGTGACCATTCTGACCAGGAAATGATCATACTCTCTGTAGGTTGCACTTGTGTTGACAGTGATTGTATCGGACTAAGAGATACATCTTGCGATTTGAAAAGTTCTTCATTTTGTTTAGGTTCATTGGATGGTTGTTGTTTGTTGACATAGCTACCTGACCATTCCTCATTGAACAATGTTGTTTTGGGCATTGAATTGGGAGAAACAATGGTTCCTTGCGGGCATATCTGGAATTGTTGGAATTATGAAAGGTCTCAGATTTTGATAATATACTGAGAGAATGACGTCTAACAACCTTTTGTGAATCAGATTTACTCATATAACTGTTCAGTTCTTTACAATTCAAAGATTATGTACGAAAAAGCTCTCTGCACTCAATCCAGAAAAATAAGACTTATCCGATTCTGGTAAATTTTTCTTCAGGTTGCAATCAGAAATCGACTCACAGCAAAGCAAGGATCAGGTCTTTTCGGCTCGCAAGGTGGGGAATAAGCTGAACATGGCCAGCTGCTGCCCGTTTTTTGGAGGTAAGCTATTGATGGTGCGTAACAATTTGCTCCTGAAAGTGATATTTAATCTTAATTACAACTTGAGATTGGACTATCAGACAATTAACCGATCTGAATGTTATCGAGGAGTTAAAAATACAAAACCTTGACATCTACTATAAACTGCTTCTTGTCGACCATGGCTTACAGAAACCGGTTTAATCGGTGGTGGAAGCGCTATTCCATTGGTTGGAAGCGAGTAACCCTATAGGTTCAAAATCTTTACAGGGCAAATAGGATGTCTAGACATGACATAATTGTGGTCCTAAATGGGCAACTAATCCTATCCATTATTAATTATGATGACCCTTACAAGTTTTCCTTTCAGGAGAATACTTATGAATCGAAATAAATTTATGCTATTAGGTAAGCCTGTTGAATATATTTCACGTTTTTCTTTCTATTTTTTATTCAAAAAATTTTTAAATTTTGTCTTGCACTTTTCAGTTAAGCGGATTTATCAAAAGATGCTGACCTGAATACTATAAGTACTATCAGATGATAATTTGTGGTGAACCTGTTTTGGTAAATAATTGTTGTTGGTATTGGATGTTTGCAGTAAAGTAGATGAGTGATGATTTGCATACGGTAATCGTTTGTTGGCGTAAGATGAAGACGAAGGATTCAAATCATTTTTAGCCAATGACACTAACCCACCAATTACTTGTCTGTCCGGTCCTGAAAAAAAACTAGTTTTTTGAATGGAATTGAGCGACCGACTTCTCAAAAACAACTGGCAAAAAAACATTTAAATGTTTCGTTGCAATTACAGCAAAGTTAAGAGGAATCAGTGGTCTGTTTATGAATAATTAAACAAAAATATTTGTAAATGAATGACAATGACACTAAAATAAATTACATGCTTGTCAGCGACCTTTTCAGTAATGGCATTAGATGGAAATGATGTTAAAAAAGCGAAACAATTAGAATTTTGATGTTAAAGGCAAAACTCGACCGCTCCACAATTGTTTCATCTCCCGCATTGTTCGGCCATCATGGTAATTTTTCTGGCCAAATTTATCAAACTTACTCTCTTTGCTGTAGTTTTTTTTTTTTTGTTAACATCTAAAGTCTCACCACTCGTTCTCTTTCTGGTGGACCTGTCATTTTTAGAACGTTGCACTGCTGTTAGCGAAGATGGCGGTTCTGAATCAGACCATGATTCAAGTTTCTGCTTTAATTCTAATTTTATCGTTTCCAACAAACCACTTCCGGAATTTACGCCACCATTTGTTGCCAGACATTTATCAAGAACTTCGAATACTGTACTTATTGGACTTAAAGAAATATTCAGTGTAATATCGTTGCCACTGGAATTCGAATTTGCATCATACAATTGACAGGAACCTCTATTCTAAAATTAAAAGTATAAAAATATAAAATTGAGCCTCATTATTTGACCCAAATTTTTAAAGAAATGACCTCTTGAATACTAAAACAGTTGGCTGAAACCCCAACTCATCATTTGTAATAGTATTTGAAAAATCGCATTGTTGAAGAATAGAAGTAGTCCACAAGATTTCTTTAAACTGTTTTGAAAATTCCAAGTGCTTATGTTCCGCGTACCTCATTTTCTTCGGGGATGAACAATGCAGCTTTGCAATGTTCAATATGATCAATGCATCGTTCCGCACATCGCAACGGTGATGGTACCTCAATTCTTTGAAAAAATGAACCGTTCTGGATTGTATGGAATTTTCGTATACACATCTTCTTCGCATTGCAGTCTGAAAATCGGTATATGTGTTTTGATAATCTTAAGAATGACTAAAATATAACATTTTAATGCTAATTAACCTGAGTTTCGAAACACAATTTAGCATTAAGTTAAATTAATCATATATTAAAGGAAGAAACTTGCCGATTTCTATACCAGAAAGGAGTAATAAGTGGAAAATATAAAGTGACCATATCTCCATGATCGAATGATGGAGGAGAAGATAACCAAAGTTGCTAAAATCTAAAATAGTTGTAAAATAGTTGTAGTGATTAAATTGAGATTTCATAGTGATATGCAACTAGTGAGAAGAGACGGCTAATGTTGTTTGGAGATGTATCTGATAGAATTTGTGAAATTCAAATATTTTTCTAGAATTCTCTGGAATTATCTGGAATCCAAATAATTCAGATATATTTAGATATACCAAAAAAAGGAAACAGAGAGACGATGTTTGTGATACACATATTCTGTCAATGTTACGTGAATTACCTAGAAAGCGAACTTAAACCAGTTAGTTTATCATAATCCTTTCGCCGATTCTTATTCCCCTCATGCCAATAAGAAAACCAATTTCGGAGTTATGGAGAAAAGCGAAGAAAAGAGAGGTAAAATAATCACCGAAGTTGTCCTCATTCCAGTAATCCGAATCAGATCAATAGCCATTATATATACAAATTTGAAGGAATGAATGAAAGGAACCGGTAACCAGTTCTTAGTTTTCACCATATCCAAACTTTTCCCTATCCATCAAAATCCTAAGAAAAGGGAAAAATTAAAGCGAATGGCCATTTTGTATGATGCAAAATCATTTCTTATCACAGGTTACTTTGCAGTTCTTCACACATTCGTATGTTACATAACCTTTACCATGGAAGAAGAGAGTTTTTTAAGTTTAATGTTAGCATTTTCCTCCCTGAACAATTGGACTTTTCAGTGATTCCATCACTGAATTTCTTCCAGAAATATTTCGTATAGTTTAAACCAGTGATTTCAAAATATCACCGATTTCAAACTTCATTAGCAATCTCATTTGTACATTTATGTCTTGGTAATGATCGTAATTTGAAGATCTCAGCCACTGAAATATGTAATTTCATTGTTTTGAATTGGCAATTATTAGAAGAGAACAAGAATGCAGGGCTTCTATGCCAAATCTACTTCATCTAATCAAACCAAAAACTTTTCAAGAGTTCCGGATTTTAAAAGTCTGTATTGAAGACGAATGATCTTCTTACTGCTGTCATTGATTATGAAAGATTTCTCTTTCTTGCAATAATTCTGAACTCACGAAGACATAATTAATAATAATACTAAATGGTTGCAGAAATTACATACAACTGCTAGCATTATTCTATTCCTGATTTGCGACCGTAGCTGTAAAACCTTTGCCGATAACTCAAAGCGTATCTTCTACAGTACGATCCAAATATTAATCTACCTAATCAGTTTGTGTCAAAGTGTTATAAAATTATTTTGCTGAAGAAAATTTTAAAATGACAAGAACTGGAGCGGTTTTTTACTCTCATTTCAGGTTCACTTCTTAAATCACTATACCTCAGATCATGCAAATAAAAAAAATTCGACACATTAATCCTGTAAAACGTATGATTTAAAGCAGTACTAAGAGATTTGAAATAATTAATCAGGCAAGGATACCAGTAGAAATGTGAAATTCATAATACTTATTTAAAACGAATAATACCTAAAGTAAGAAGCACATCGAATTACAATAGTGAAGTGGAAATTTGTTTAATTACTGTTTGAAAAGAAAATTCATCAAAATAAGTGATGAAATACACAATCTTTGTGTTATTAAATTCTTTTAAATAAATAAATAAGTAAAATTAAAATGAAAATTACTCATTTCACCTTATGTTGGAGATACCATGGAATGTGAAATACATTGGTGGCTTTTATTATTATTCTAGTGACAGTTTCGGAATATGAAGTCTATTTTAATGACAGTTCCATTCATTTCGCACTTATTCTCCAAGTGTAGTTATGCAAATTTTTGACATTTTCCTTTGAATTACTTTCAGAGTTCGATGCATTAGTTGAATCATATTAATTGTCAGGGAATGAAAAGAGCGAAAAAGAAGAAAGTATGTAAATAACTGAAAATGAAAAGATATGTAATTGTTTCATATTCAATTATATCATTAGCCGATTTCATCACAGAAATCAGCTTTTAAGGGAGAATTTCGACCATCAAACAACTTTGCTTCTTAATGCATTTTTTTGTTTACATTCATCAAAATATAAATGAATAAAATCATTCATTTCTCTCTTTCATTTTCTCTATTTCTAGCCAACAAAAAGTAAAGAGTTGTTCAAACTCTTTACTGCTACTTTTTTTTTACCCTTACTATTTTGTACTCTAAGAGGAATAATTACAATTACCTTTCTTAAAACATCTTACAAAAAAACTGGTCTGTAGAAAACATAGAAAGAAAGAAGAAAGGTAAGGAAAAGGGTAAGCAGAAAGTGTGATAATAAAAATGTAAAATCTTTTGGAATGGAGTTTCTTTAAGCATTTTAAAGCTATAAAAAAGCAAAGCCAAATAATATGAATCAATCAAAATTCAATTGAAAATTTTCGCCGTTTCCTCCAACAAAAATATAGAAAATTCCAATTTTCTGTAATTGGAATCAGTTTCTGTATCATTAGAAAGGGCCAACTAAATAAAAGAATTCTTTAAAAAAATGTGATTGGAGGTGAACTTCATTGTTAGATTCGGATGGAATGAATTATGAATTCAATTAGGAATTGATTTGGTCTCTAGCCGAATTGTTGTCAACCTTAACTATTCTCTATCATTTATGTCCTAAATCGAAAGACTGACTGCAATTTTCAAATAAATTCTTTTCAATTTAACCAAGAATTTCAACAATCTAAATATGTGTGAAGTGGCCGCTAGATATTTCATTCAACTTTCCTTGAAGTTTCGAGAATGTCATTAATTTTCATTTCATTCCTTACAAAAACATTTCCATAGTAAAAATGACGCATTCAACTTAAAAAACATCAAATAAAGATAGCTCCTGAAGTAGAATTATTCTCGTACATCATCACATGGAAAAGTCGATGAATTTCAGTATTTGATAATCACAAAAAAGATCTTGCGGCTTTGAAGTATTAAACTATAAATTATACAGTAGCTGAAATTTAATGTTCAGCATTCACATGAATTTACTGCTGGTGATCCTTTGAATTCGTTTAATCTTTGTAAACATTGCAACAAAAGAGAGACCGATATTTATCAGAAAGCTGATCAATCGAACCCATAGCTCATTAGAAAAATGGTGATCCTACGTAGGTAGTTGTAAAAAAAATGATGGAACAAGAATTTCATTTTGTGACTTATAGATTCCTTCCTATCACACTTTTGTTTCTTTTTCGATCGCCGAATTTGCTCGTCACTTTATCGAGCGGCACAATTTTGATTGCTCTTCTATGAATTATTCAAAAATTGTTATTATTTGTTTGGACTAAATACATCTTTACATATTCAATAATCATTCAAGGCTCTACATCAATATTCATACATGCTTGAAGAGATTGGTGATAGAAGAAAGGAGTGGTATCAGAAAAATATAAGTTAGGGATAATAAGAAGAAAGGAGGCAGAATGTTGGCAGAAAGTCTTAACAGATTTTTTCAAAACTGAGGTATGCGAGAGCAAAAATTAGCAGCTACCTTTGAGACACAGGTGTAAGTTATATTTGTGTTTCAGAGGTAACTGCTAATTAATTAGAAATTGACAATTTTCCCTTGCAATCCTTCCATATGTATGTTGGTTTTTTTCGTATCCAGTAGTTTTCTTTTGCAGTTAAGACATCATGCTTTAAACTCAATGCAGAGTATCTGGTAACGGTATATAAAATGAGATTTTGAACTTTCGTGGAATGTTCTGTTAATGAAAAGGTATGCGTGATTAGTGTCCTGTGGTGCCACTACCTGGAATATGATTTTAATAATAAATATTTTCCGGTTTCAAAGAACTGAATGTAGAAGTGAAATTTGAGGACTTTTTAGTATTTCTTATATTAAAATTTCCTCACATATTTCATCAACATATATTATCGTTTTGCAATATCCCAACTGAATCCTTTTTTTCCACTACATTAAGCCAGATGGAAATTACATTGCAGTGATGGGATAGTACTGAAATGACAACGAAAGGAGCAAATGAAGGAGAATACTGTCACAGCTGTAGGATATCAGCATAATATCTGATCATAAAGAAATTTCTGAAAAAATAATCCTTTAAAAAGTCAAAATTTAACTCTTACTTTTTACCGACAATTTATAATAATTTCAATGAACTTTCAAACTTCGTTGTTGATTATACAATTTAATTTTTTTGATATTACTTTTATTGTTTGATAGTTTTCTAGTTTCTACGCAGTTAATTTTATTCATTATTTTTTTGAAAATTCTCTGTAGGCTACTCAGTAGGACTACGTATTGGAGCAATGGGATAATATTGAGTGATAAAGTGAATCCGGTGGTAATCATTTAAAAAACGTGATGGGTACCATTAGCAGATGCTACCGCCGTTCTATCACCGCTTATGCCCAACTTTGATATTTGGATCATCTGTCAAGTTATGTTATTTTTTGTTTTTATACTTTTCCAAGTGTAAGGTAATTCGAGACTAATACAGATAAGAAGAGCAAGAATGAGAAAAAATGAATCACACCAGACATAGTTCAGGTAATTTTAGATTATTTACTTCCTACGTTTTAACTGTCAACCTTTAATCTTTGATTTCTTATTCGGTCAAAATAGGAGTTAAATATTTTGCATCAATCCTTTGTGTGTAAGCAATAGCCCTTCGAAAAGTTCTTTGTAACTGAAAAATATTTATTACTGTTTTTAAGCTTAAAGACGGTAATAAAATCCGAAATTCTCCACAATTTTCCGTCTCTCAATCCCTTATGAAAATAAAATTGCTCGATAAAGAAAAGAAAGTGTCACCGTAGTCTGA